AGTTCAGTGTTTAGTTCTCGCTAACTTTTCAAAAATCGAAGCAAGGAAACTAGCTACTCTTTTAAAAACGTATATTTGTGTACGAATTCGGCTTTTTTGTCCGCCATCTTGATGAGTTTTCAAACTCTACGGCGGCCGTAGCCACGCTGGTTTATGGGTAACAGGCAGCATCAAGTCAGCATCGATGCTGCCTTAAGAACCGGCCGTTACGGGGTACGGTTTGAAGGCATCTTACGTGACAGGACGAGTTTGTTCCAGCTGATCGGAACAGCATTCGATGCCTCGCTGTTAGACACCTTCTGAGACAGCAGTTTTAGCAGTTTTCAAACACAGACCTAAAGCCACGGCCAGAACTGGAATTAGAACTACAACCAGGACCAAGAGTAACTTAGAACCAGGACCAAAACTGGAACTGTGACTTGAACTAGAAATACACTGAACAAAATTATAGACGCAACACTTGAGATCGAGTGGCCTTTTACTGTGGCCAGCCTAAGGCACACCTGTGCAATCCCCATTCTGTCTGATCAGCATCTTGATATGCCACACCTGTGAGGTGGATGGATAATCTCGGGAAAGGAGAAGTGCTCACTAACACAGATTTTGACAGATTTGTGAACAATGTTTGAGAGAAATGGGCCTTATGTGTACATAGAGAAAGTCTTAGATCTTTGAGTTCAGGGGGCAAAAACAAAAGTGTTGTTTCTAATTTTGTTCAGTGTAGAATAGGGCCAAGACTAGACAACATTTAGAAAATGCAGCTCATAAATTGACACATTAGAAGAGAAAAAATACCTGAAAAGATTAAAAAAACACTTAAAATGTTTGGTTCATCTTGTCCTTGTTGATTGGTTTTCTACCCGTTTGTCTCTCTGTCAGCACTCTGCAGGACGACTTCTTCATCATCCATGAGGAGGAGTACGACAGCGTTCTGCAGAGCGTCTTTAAAACAGAGTTTCTCAGTCTGCTCGTCAAACGTTACCAAGAGAAAACGCAGAAGAAGCTGCCGCTCAAATTCAACAACCTGTCAGTAGCCTCACTTTTTTATTTTGTTTTGCTCAAATATAAAAAAAACATGTCCAGTTCTTACAACATTGCCTTGATTTCATGTTTCCAAGTTTAACACTTGACTAAATCTACTCCAGATGTTCTAGTAACTAAAGCCATCTGACAGCTGTGATGGTTTTCTGAATGAACACGTACATGAAAATCGGCTGAAGCCCTCCCTCTGTCTCTTTCCTCCAGGCTGGAGTTTAAGGTGAAGAAGGGCGGCTGGGGTCCTTTCAGCTCCTCTGGGTCCAGACAGGTCCAGTTCCAGATGGGTCAGGGGGACGAGGCGGTCCTGAAGCCCAGCGGAAAGACCCTGCAGGTCTCCATCGGACCGGGTCTGCCCAAAAACTCCAGTAAGTTCTCACTGGACTCACCACAGACTCTCCTGCAACTTTCTGTGTCCTCGTCCTCACTTCCTGTCTGTTTGATTTGTAGGACCAACGAGGACGGACAAACGCAAGAGTCGCTACATGGGTAACCGGGCTCCGCCTACCAGCCAGCACAACTCAGGTACCAATTACAAAAAACTCCAGGTGTCGAGAGGTCGCTGTCTGAGAAAGTGTTGGTTTATAAGTTAAAATTTTTCTTCAGCTCCTCGCTCCAGAGGGGGAGGAGCTCCCAGAGGGGGAGGAGCTCCCAGAGGGGGAGGAGCTCCCAGAGGGGCCCCTGCCTCCGGCAGATTCTCCCTGATGAGGCAGCAGTCTAGCATGGAACAGCCCAGTCTACCCCGCCTCCAGAGTCAGCGCCGACATGACACCCCACCCCTCCAGCAACAGGACATGGGCTTCATGGACGTCCCCGATCAGGGCGCCGCTGGGTGAGACCTCCAGGAGCGACCCAGTTTAACCAGTAGCAGTAATGTAACCAATACCAGGGTCACCGGTAGATCCAGTAAAATGGTCACAGGTCATATGTACCTGTGTGACTTGAGTCTCTCAAATGTTACGTTGGCGTTACTGAAGCAGACCCAGCAGCTCCTTTTATTTCTGGTCCTGGTTCTGGTCCTTGTTCTACGCATTGTTCTCTGGTTCATTGTAAATAAGATGAATGGTACTGTAATCCCTGCGTGTTGCCTGCAGGCTGCAGAGACGGCGGTCAAAGGAGGTGAAGCCTCTTCCTGGTGCAGGTAGACCCGTGCCGGCTCCCAAACCGAAGCCTCGGTCTCCACAGTGCAAAGCTCTGTACGCTTACGACGCCCAGGACACCGATGAGCTCAGCTTCAATGCTAACGACGTCATTGAGATACTCACTGAAGGTACTGCTTCTGTTACTGCTAATCCTGTTGCCATTCTAGAACTACTGTTTCTTCTACTACTGATAATACTACTGGTACTATTTATATTATTACTGTTGCTACTACTACTGGTCTTTTTGTTGAGTGATGTGTCCGAGATTCAGTAAATGTACATCTAGTGTGACTCCACACGTTATTTTACCGGCCTGCAAGTTGTAGCAAAGCAGTCGACCACAGGTTAACTAACATTAGCTAACGTAACGTTAGACACATAGGACGTGACCATATTTGGACGAGAGGGTGGAGCTAGCTAGCTTGGTTAGCAAGGTGCATCTGTAATTCACGTTAACTGTGATATTAGCTGGGATGCTAATTTTGGCTAGCGACAAACGGGCTGAAAACAACATACTTACTGAAAAATGAGCAGCCGACTCCTGATGAGCTTTTGCAGGTTTAAGGTGCTTCAGGTTCAGACCTGGAGGTTCCTGCTTGGTCACATGACTGACCATCCGTCTATAGTTAACCAACTACACAGCAGTCGCCACTAAATATGACACATTTGGATGTTATGATTACTTTTGAGAACATTTTAAAATAAGTGTCACAGTAATGTAGCTGTTATCGCTAAATGAGAGCTACCGTAATTGATCGTTTGCTCCTCCCCTAAACAGCGTAACTTTGCAACAGTAACTACTGACAGCAGTATTTCCCATGTTGAAGGTGTGTACATGGAGCTGCAGTCAGAGAGGGTGGTGTTAAACATAAACTGCTAATGTTAGCATGCCTGGCTAATTAGCTTACTACCTACACTGCTCATCAAGACACAGAGTTAGCACAGCGTTAGCATGTCATCATTTTGTGGGTCCTGGATGAAAGTCTAGGCTAACGTTAGCCGTTTACACTGCAGCAGCTGCAGCAACACTTCAGACTCCGACCAGAATCGGCTGATAGTAGAATCAAACGTTGGGTCTCTGTTAATGAGATTATAAACGAGCTCTGCCCGTTATGAATCTGTGCCATATAAATATAAAGAGATCATTCACTCGGTCCGCTGTCTCTGGATTTTCTGCAGACCCGTCCGGCTGGTGGTTCGGTCGGTTGCGAGGCAGAGAGGGGATGTTTCCCGGAAACTACGTGGAGAAGATTTAGACTTCCTCTCCGGGGGGGTCAGAGATCACTGATCTGCTGCTGCCGTCGCCGGGGTCAGAGGTCACCAGAGCTTTCAACACTTCACCTGACAGGAAACAGGAAGCTGATTATTGAGTTTGACGAGTTCATTCATAAAGAAACCAATGTGTGTTTCAGTCAGTGCCGATGGCGTCCCCAGAGGTCAAAGGTCAGGGTCTGACTCCTGGACTGAAGGCTCGATCAGATTTTACATCAGTGTTATCATGGAAAGGCTGAAAACACATGAAAGATCTGCAGGTTGTAGCTCTCTGATCAAAAGACACAATAAAATGAAATATATGAAACCGTTTTTACAGTTAAATAATCTTTCAGAACAAATGTGTGTGTTTTATATCTGCTGACTGTGTTTTATAGAGCATCAACCAGCTGACCCTGGAACAGCCAATAAACTGACATTTCAGTACAAACCTGTTTGAGTTCCTGAGGAAACACATTCTTCATCGTTTACATTTTATTCACCGAACAATTTATCAATCAGCGGATTCATTGATAATGAAAATAACCATCAGTCAGCAGCCCTGCCTCAGATTAATGCATTTGTGAGTCAAAGCACGCGATTCAAAAAATCGGAACTCCATTTCCCAGAGTTCCATTCTTCATGGTTTCATGCTGCATTCAAATGCTGAAGGAAAGTTTAGATTTTAAGCTCGTGGTCCAAATTAAATAACCGAGAACCTGTCGGTGTTTTTACACATTGAGTGGCAGTTTATGAAGTGTCGTAATCTGATAAAGCTGTGAGTATAAAGACTCATTTTAAGAAGAAAATCTCTAAAACTTGTAGAAGATAAATTAATGTTATGACGTTAGTGATGAAATAATTGATAGATTTCAGTTAATTTGCTTATTAAATTGACTTCACTGACAGATATTAGTATTTTTCTCCTGCTGTCGGATCACTTAATTTAATGTTTTTAATTTTTTCATGCTAATCTGTTGTCTAATGCAGCAGTTAATGTGCAAACTACGTTTTCTATTTTTTTATTTTACCTTTACCTTATTTTACCAGGCAAGTTAATCAAGAACCGGTTCTTATTTACATTAACGGCCTGGCAGGATAGATGTGGCACCATAAACCAGAGACTGAGGCCTACACTAGTCTACAGAGAGGAAACAATCACCTGAGCAGGGCGTCCCTTTGAAAAATGTACTTCTTTCAGATTTATGTCTGCGTTTTGTTTTTTTTAGCAGTAGCTTTACTAGCTTTAGCTTGTTGGAGCATGAACCTGAACATGTGATAAAGCATTTATTAAAGCTTGGATTCAGGTGTGAACACCTGGTGCTTCTTGTTCCATCTCACACCTTGTGCATCAGGCATGTACAGTTCTTTAGAGAACATGAGGAAGTACAGATAATGTTCACAATGACTTTATTGTTTATTATTTTTCCTTACCTTACACTACGTTTAATGTTGTGAATAAGCTGCATGTTGCATTCAGGTTCGTTTTAAATGAACCGGCCCCGTTTAAACTGTTCCTGGATCAGTTTGCGGAGAGACGACCCGTAATTCCGACGTTTAACCGGGTCCTTGAAGGCATCCTGACCTTTTACCGCCACACCGACGGTCGGTCACCGGGACCGTCATGTGTTCACGGCAGCGCGTGTGAGTCTCAGCCCCGCTGCTCAGTGAGTCGGCTGTCACAGATTACCGGACCCGTTAACCGGTTAGAGGAGGTGCTAGCAGGTTAGCTAGCGGTCCGAGCGGCGGAGTTAGCATCTAGCAGCTAACAGAAGATGGAGGAGTTTCTGTCGGGCTGCCGACGGGCCGTGAAGGTAACACGTTCACCTCAGCCCGGTAACGGCTGTTGTTGTTTGTTAGCATTAGCCACAGTTAGCCTGCTAGCTCGGACGGTGTCCGGTGTTTCCGTGCAGGTAAACATATCAAACAAATAAAGTCTAATTGTGTGACTTCCGTTCAGTTGCACCTTTCAAAGTAAACTTCCGGTAATTTGAACATTTTTAATCTTATTTTCAAACTAAAAGAAGAAAAACGGGAAAAAACACGATAAAACTGGACATTAAGTACATTTACTCAAGGACAGTACTTATATGAGGTACTTTCTCCTTGACGTTATACTGCAGTTACTTCACACATGAGGAGTTTATAAAATATGATGTTTGTTTGTTTAAAGTGCAGCTGGAGGATTATTAAACTGACAGACATTTAACGAAAACTCTTGATTGTTTAGGTCATTTTACATGGAAAATATTTCATGTTCCAGCTTCTCCTCTCAATGATTGTAATAACTGAGATGTTTGAAGGCGTCTCTTTGGGAAGGAAGGAAATAATCAGCAGGCTGATCCAGAATGAAAAGACTCATCAGCTGCAGTCTGAAACTGATCAGCTGAGAAGGAGCTGCAGCTCAACATCCTGCTGCACTTTACTGAGGAGGAAGAAGAACCTGTGACAGTTTACTGCTTTAATACTTTAAGACCTGATTATACTCACGTACTTTTACTAAAGTCACATTTTAATGCAGGACTTTTACTCCTAACAGAGTATTTTTTACAGTCAAGTATTAGTACTTTTACTGCAGCAAAGGATCTGAATACTTTGTCCACATATATAAACTGTGACGTCAGTGTGAACATTAACTGAACACCTGTATGCAGAGGGACACACCTGAGGGGGGACGTTAATAAAAGATGTTCAGTACATAGAGAATAACTATATACAAGTAAAGAGTGATTTTTAAATACATTATCTATAAATTAAATCTTGATTAGTATGATTGTTCTGAAGTGTTTTCTGGGGCGCTGAACCTTTAGTTGATGATTCAGACTGAAACAGGTTGTGGTTTGAGTCCTCCCTCCATCTCTGATGACCTGCTTGATGAGTTCTCCACTTTAACAAAGTGCCCTTTAGGTCGTCGGGTCAGTTACAGTCTGAGACCTCGTTGTCTTCAGAATTCATTTAAACAGGTCAGATTCTGCTCATAGCTGCTCGACACACGAGACGGGCCTGGAGGCAGAGATAAAGCTGATGTTGATCTGTTCCTGCAGAGACTCGTTGATTCTGACGACGACGGTTTAAAACTCAGATGGTCCCGTTCTGCTTTATTTAGAGGTGGGAGCAGAACAGGTTCACATGGCAGCTCCTCTTTTCTCCCTGAGTGTCGTACATTCTGTTTTAGATACCGAGCGAAGCATCTCACTTCTGTTAGATCTTTGTTAGGAGATGCACATGCTCAGAACCGAGGGAAGGACTACCAGCCAATCAGAAGCAGCTGAGGGCGGTTTAAATGTTTGGTGTCCGGAGGAGATTCTGGGTCTCCAGACTTCAGTTCCTGCGTTACGTGTTTATTATACAGTATTTTAGCAGACTGTGTCCTGCAGGTGAACGCAGACCAGGCGGGTCCAGGGTTCCACGTGGTTCTGGGGAACGAAGCCTGCGACGTGGACTCCATGGTGTGTGCGCTGACCTACGCCTACTTCCTGTCCAAGGTGAGACTCTGACCAATCGGAGCCGGTGTGTGTCCGCAGACCCGACCTCTGGCTGACTCGCTCTCTCTCTCTCAGACTGCACAGGGTGAGATGCTCGCTCTCCCTCTGCTGAACATCCGTCAGTCAGAGCTGCTGCTGCGTTCGGATAACGTCTTCCTGCTGCGGCAGGTCGCTTTGTCTCCAGATCTTCTGCTGTTCAGGGACCAGCTGGACCTGCGAGCGCTGCAGCGAGCCGGCCGCCTGCGGCTGACGCTGGTCGACCACAACATCCTGCCCAGGTAGCCACGCCCACCCGACAGGAGGCCATCAAACCAAATGCATTGACATAGCACGTTAAGAAACAACAGGAGAAGTGATGTACAAATGAATGTGAATCACGTGATTCGTAAAAACAGCAGCGCTGCGAAACAAAGTTCATTCTTAAAAATAAAGGATTGTAAAATACTGAAAGCACTGACGCCGTTTTCTCACAACACAGATTTTAACGACGCGTTGCCTTTACCGCCTGAGTTCGACCGCTTGACTCCTCGCACGATGCGATAATACAAATAAGCACAGTGCTCCGCTCACAGAACACTCTGCTGCATTTCAACTAACCGCCACCAGGGGGCGACCTGACTGTGAGCACCCTCCAGGTGATGCAGCCAACAGGTGCGTTTGACTTCATGTGGCGCTGCGCAGCACTGACTTAACGTGATGCATGCTGGTTAGAAATTGTGTCGCCGGCGCCGCAAAACACACCATGTCACATGACATTTAAACCTCGCGGGGGCAAGGCGGCTGCAGGCGCCAAGTCCGGTGGCCGCAGTTGCTTTTCCCCGACTGCAAAGTTGGAACCACCTTTTGCCTGGTCTCCAGTCATTGATCTCAGCTCTCAGTGAGCTCACGCGGGTAGAATATGTTTTTGTTCCCCGCCCCTGCAGTCACCTGCAGCTCACGTTAGACTATCAAGTTGGCGAAAGTCAGCCGCCATCATTTCGAACGCACCTCAATATTCATGTAGCTGCAGCACCGGAGGCCGCAGCTCTAGGACCGTTTGCGACAGCGCCATCTAGTGGAGTGGTGGTGGTAATGCACAGCAACATGAAGGGGGTTAACATTGCCTCCTAGAAATGCAGGTCTGATCCTGAAACTGCAGCCTCCAGTAGAGTAGAGGAGTAATCCACAGAGAGGCATCACCGCTTCCATCCGACTCCCACACAGAGTGAACTAACGAACGCCATCTCCTTCCTGCCATAGAGAGGTCCAGATAACCAGCTTCAGGAAATCCCCTCAAGCGGTTCTCGCTCTCTGTACCTGGATGCAAAACTGTGAGGGCACATCGAGACGGACGTTACAGCGGAAACCACTGACCTCTGGTCACGCAGAACAACGGAGTCGGACATGAGTCTCATTCTGATGCAAAGATTTGTACATTAGCAGAAATGTAGCTCGAGGACGAGGAAGCCGTGCTCTGTTTACTTTAAAGTGCAATAAAAGTATTTAGTCCCTTAAATCAGGGAATAATCGTGGTCTTCATTTTGGCCGTAATCGTGCAGTTTGTGACAACCTGCCAGGTTTCACCACCGTGGAAAACCCCTGAAACGCTCATTTTAGAAACAAGCCACACTGATTCGTTGCCGGCTGGCGCGACAATTAAACCTCCTCCCGGTAAAAACCAGTCTGTTGGAAGGAGCGAGTGGGAGAGGAGCAGTGAAAGAAAGAAAAGATCAAAGTAAGGAAGTAAATCCCTTGCGTATCGTTTTTCATCCTGTACGCTTCTCTTCACCTTCGGATCATCATTCAACATTCGCTGTGCAAAATTGTATGCAGAAGCCGGTAAAACATTCACAACCCAGCAGCAAAAACCCGGACTGACGGACTGACGGACTGACGGACTGACTGACTGGACTCCGTGAGTTACCAAACTCGTTTTTCTGTACTATGACGTTTGTTTGTGACTGAGAAACTGAACCAGCTTTATTTATCTTTTTATGCTTGGGCACTGGGCTGAATTTATTTTTGTGTTTTGGAACTGAACTGCCACTAATTTGTGTTTGAGATTGTTTGTTTAAGTGTGCAGAAAACCCGAAGTGGAATCTTCAGTTGGATTGTGATTTACTTTGTGATTGTGTTTTTGTGTGAAATCTTAAATACACCAAAATTTTGTTTTGTGCTAAGCTTTTGAGTTTGTGGCGTTTCTTTCTTTTATGGTCATTCAGTGTGAGGGTGTACGTTCTTTTGAAATATATCCTTTGTGACATTTGATTTAAAAACAGTTGACCAGTATCTTACTGCCAGGGGAGAGACCTGGCTGGCACCCCGAATAGTAATAATTAAAACTGTGCACTCAAACTGTCACAAGCTCTAAAGCTGATGATACACGGAGCAACTTTTAGAGCAATGTTGCTGTCAATGGTAATGAGTAAAGATTACTACCGTAATCCCCTTCCCCACCCTCTCCGCACTGACGCTGTCCGTTCAAAACATAGTCGGACTTGCCACTGTGGTGTCCGAACAATAATGCTGCGATGATGTGTTGAGAAGAAATCCGCTTGACACTGTTCTTGATCATAAAAGTTTATTACATCAAGGAGTTCAGCATCAATTACAAGCTCTGCAGCAGCTTGGAGAGACCCAGCCTGATAACCACTCTGTCTCTCTGTACATCAAACACAGCTTATATAGGACATGTTTAGGTCTCTGCCAAATACCATGTAAGGGTCTGAGTCTGCAAACTAAGGCTCCAATCCATATAAGAGCAAAGTTCTATAGGATAAGTGTAGACATCTTGTTGGACACCAGATAAGGGTCTGAGCCTCCACGTAACCACTGACCTCTGCTCTCCCCTTAAAGGTCACTAATCCTCTATCCAGCTGCTAGAGTGTTATGTTAAACTGTTATGCATCATATGTTATACACCACACCACCAGCAACATTGCTCAAAAAGTTGCCCTGTGTGTCATCAGCTTTACAGAGGAAATAAAATGGGCCCTAAAGTGGAACCTTGAGGTTCTCCAGGGTTCCTAATTTCATTTGAAACCACAAACTGAAGCCACGTGGTCAGTTGGAACTTGGTACTCTAACTGGTGAACATGTTGTCAGGAAGGTTATTATAGTTACGACAACATTTAGTGACAGGACATCAGAGGAGGACCGGGCTCCTGAAGCTCGGACTGCACGGGTCACATGACCTCTAACCAGGCAGGAGTGAGGACGCCTGTCTCATCAGCCTGTTTCTGTCCTGCAGTTCAGACAGCGACCTGGAGGGGGCGGTGGTGGAAGTGATCGACCATCACCTGCTGGAGAGAGAGCCCTCCTCCTCCTGTACTGTTACCGTGGAGACGGTCGGATCCTGCGCCACTTTGGTGACCGAACGCATCATCCAGAAAGCTCCGGAAATCCTGGACCAGCAGGTCGCTCAGCTGCTCTACGGTAGGACTGAAACCATTCATCGCTTTAATCGATTACTGAAATGCATCGACGCCTCGTTGAATCCATACAACGATATACAGCTCACTGTTTCGCACAGACATTTATTACTGTCGCACATCGCGCTGACACTGACATCACGGCGTCTTCTCTCGTCCACAGCGTCAGCACGTTGTGCGACAGTAATAACCGTCCGTGTGAAACAGTGAGCTGTACAACGCCATCGAGTTTCTCAGAGAATCGTTTCAGGCCTGACTATCTGATTATGACTTTGTGTGTGCAGCGGCGGTGGTGTTGGACTGCGTGAACATGGCGCCCTCTGCAGGCAAAGTGACTCCTAAAGACAGCCAGTTCGCTGCAGCGTTGGAGATCCGCTTCCCCTCCCTGCCACCGAGGGGCGCTCTCTTCCAGACGCTGCACAACGCCAAGTTTGACGTCTCAGGTCAGTCACAGCAAAATGTTTTCAGTATTCACTGCAGTACGTGGAAGTACTGGTACTTGATAAAACTCTTACTGAACAAGTATTTGCAGTATTTGTCCTCAGGTCTGCAGTATTTTCAGTGTTTCCCCTTGGATGGAGTTTTTAAAATAAATTTCTGTCTGAATATAAAACCCCAACACAACACGTCTCAGCAACTTTGCTCTTGTGTCCATGAGCACGCGATGCGCCTTAGAACAGCTTCAAACTGCAGTGTTTTCCCAGTTTAATGGGAGCTTTACATGAATGTTTCAGTGGTGGTTGTAAAAGAAAATTCTACATTTTCCAATGAAAAATATGTAATTTCACATTATTTTCACCATATCTCTGAACAAAGAGCAGCCAAAGATCAGCCTGCTGGAGGAACTCCAACCTTCAGACCTGGAGAAAGTAATCTGGTTGGTTCTGTTGCTCCACAGTGATTTTACAGTGATGGCACGGCATGTTTTGGGCATCGCCCCTAAAACCCTGTTAATGTGACCTCAGAATCCTTACAGATACGACTCTTCATGTTTTGTGTCTTCATTTTACAGCTTCTTAATTAAAAAACATTAATATAAAAAATAGGCAACATGAGATTTTATGTGCACATTAAAATCCAAACAAACGTCTCCTCATTAGCTTCAAAGGACTAGTTTGCATCAGTAATTAGCTTTCCTAACCTCAGCTCCTCCAGTCAGCTGCAAGTTTGTACCTGATGTTCTCAACATTGGACAAGTAGGCAGTAATAAAATCCAGCTTCCAGTTACTTTCTATAAACTGAGCTAATGTTCAGTCACAGAGCAGCTCTGTAGCTGCTGTAGAAGCTGCTCAGTCTGAAGGGGAGATGCTAGCTAACGTAGCGCTAACCGGCTTCGCTTTTCCAGCAGCTGGGAAACAACAGACTTTTCTTTGTCTTGAGAAGCCGACACGCTGTAACAGACACCGTGTGTGCACAGTGTGCGAGTGAAAACATTTGTAGCACATAGTTTAATGATGGTGGGAAATTTTAGTAGCGGCGGTCGTGATGCGTTATAGAATGCATATAGAGGAAACACTGATTTTGTAGTATTTATTGCAGTATTTGTCCACAGGTCTGAACACAGAACAGATGTTGTTGAAGGACATGAAAGCTGCTTCAGGAAGTTTGAATCTGGCTGTCTCTGTTCTCTACATCAAACTGGAGGTCAGTCAGTACTACACACTGTACTACACTGTACTCTACACTGTACTACACTGTACTCTACACTGTACTACACACTGTACTCTACACTGTACTCTACACTGTACTCTACACTGTACTCTACACTGTACTACACACTTTACTACACTGTACTACACACTGTACTACACACTGTACTACACTGTACTCTACACTGTACTCTACACTGTACTACACACTGTACTCTACACTGTACTACACACTGTACTCTACACTGTACTACACACTTTACTACACTGTACTACACTGTACTGCACACTGTACTACACACTGTACTGCACGCTATAGTAGACTCTACTGCACACTGTACTGCACACTGTACTGCACACTATAGTAGACTCTACTGCACACTGTACTGCACACTGTACTGCACACTATAGTAGACTCTACTGCACACTGTACTGCACACTGTACTGCACACTGTACTGCACACTGTACTGCACGCTATAGTAGACTCTACTGTACACTGTACTACACACTGTACTACACTCTATAGACTGTACTGTACACTGTACTACACACTGTACTGCACGCTATAGTAGACTCTACTGCACACTGTACTGCACACTGTACTGCACACTATAGTAGACTCTACTGCACACTGTACTGCACACTGTACTGCACACTGTACTGCACACTGTACTGCACGCTATAGTAGACTCTACTGTACACTGTACTACACACTGTACTACACTCTATAGACTGTACTGCACACTGTACTGCACACTGTACTTCACTCTATAGTAGACTGTACTGCACACTGTACTGCACACTGTACTGCACACTGTACTACACGCTATAGTAGACTCTACTACACACTGTACTGCACACTGTACAACACACTGTACTACACGCTATAGTAGACTCTACTGCACACTGTACTGAACGCTATAGTAGACTCTACTGCACACTGTACTGCACACTGTACAACACACTGTACTGCACACTGTACTGCACCCTGTACTGCACGCTATAGTAGACTCTACTGCACACTGTACTACACGCTATAGTAGACTCTACTGCACACTGTACTGCACACTGTACAACACACTGTACTGCACACTGTACTGCACACTGTACTGCACGCTATAGTAGACTCTACTGCACACTGTACTACACCCTGTACTACACCCTGTACCACACTGTACTACACACTGTACTACACTCTATAGTAGACTGTACTGCACACTGTACTGCACGCTATAGTAGACTCTACTGCACACTGTACTGCACACTGTACTGCACACTGTACTGCACGCTATAGTAGACTCTACTGCACACTGTACTGCACACTGTACTACACGCTATAGTAGAATCTACTGTACACTGTACTGCACACTGTACTGCACACTGTACTGCACGCTATAGTAGAATCTACTGTACAGCACACTGTACTGCACGCTGTACAACACACTGTACTGCACACTGTACAACACACTGTACTGCACGCTATAATAGACTCTACTGCACACTGTACTGCACACTGTACTGCACGCTATAGTAGACTCTACTGCACACTGTACTACACACTGTACTGCACACTGTACTGCACACTGTACAACACACTGTACTGCACGCTATAGTAGACTGTACTGCACACTGTACTGCACACTGTACTACACACTGTACTACACACTGTACTGCACACTGTACAACACACTGTACTGCACGCTATAGTAGACTGTACTGCACACTGTACTACACTCTATAGTAGACTCTACTGTACACTGTACTACACACTGTACTACACTCTATAGTAGACTGTACTGCACACTGTACTACACTCTATAGTAGACTGTACTGCACACTGTACTGCACGCTATAGACTGTACTGTACACTGTACTGCACACTGTACTTCACTCTATAGTAGACTCTACTGTACACTGTACTGCACCCTATAGTAGACTCTACTGTACACTGTACTGCACGCTATAGTAGACTCTACTGTACACTGTACTGCACACTGTACTGCACGCTATAGTAGACTCTACTGCACACTGTACTGCACACTGTACTGCACGCTATAGTAGAATCTACTGCACACTGTACTGCACACTGTACTGCACGCTATAGTAGACTCTACTGTACACTGTACTGCACACTGTACTGCACACTGTACTGCACGCTATAGTAGACTCTACTGCACACTGTACTGCACACTGTACTGCACGCTATAGTAGAATGTACTGCACACTGTACTGCACACTGTACTGCACGCTATAGTAGACTCTACTGCACACTGTACTGCACACTATAGTAGACTCTACTGCACACTGTACTGCACACTGTACTGCACACTGTACTGCACGCTATAGTAGACTCTACTGCACACTGTACTGCACACTGTACTACACGCTATAGTAGAATCTACTGTACACTGTACTGCACACTGTACTGCACGCTATAGTAGAATCTACTGTACAGCACACTGTACTGCACGCTGTACAACACACTGTACTGCACACTGTACAACACACTGTACTGCACGCTATAATAGACTCTACTGCACACTGTACTGCACACTGTACTGCACGCTATAGTAGACTCTACTGCACACTGTACTACACACTGTACTGCACACTGTACTGCACACTGTACAACACACTGTACTGCACGCTATAGTAGACTGTACTGCACACTGTACTGCACACTGTACTACACACTGTACTACACACTGTACTGCACACTGTACAACACACTGTACTGCACGCTATAGTAGACTGTACTGCACACTGTACTACACTCTATAGTAAACTCTACTGTACACTGTACTACACACTGTACTACACTCTATAGTAGACTGTACTGCACACTGTACTACACTCTATAGTAGACTGTACTGCACACTGTACTGCACGCTATAGACTGTACTGTACACTGTACTGCACACTGTACTTCACTCTATAGTAGACTCTACTGTACACTGTACTGCACCCTATAGTAGACTCTACTGTACACTGTACTGCACGCTATAGTAGACTCTACTGTACACTGTACTGCACACTGTACTGCACGCTATAGTAGACTCTACTGCACACTGTACTGCACACTGTACTGCACGCTATAGTAGAATCTACTGCACACTGTACTGCACACTGTACTGCACGCTATAGTAGACTCTACTGTACACTGTACTGCACACTGTACTGCACACTGTACTGCACGCTATAGTAGACTCTACTGCACACTGTACTGCACACTGTACTGCACGCTATAGTAGAATGTACTGCACACTGTACTGCACACTGTACTGCACGCTATAGTAGACTCTACTGCACACTGTACTGCACACTGTACTGCACACTGTACTGCACGCTATAGTAGACTCTACTGCACACTGTACTGCACACTGTACTGCACGCTATAGTAGACTCTACTGCACACTGTACTGCACACTGTACTGCACACTGTACTGCACGCTATAGTAGACTCTACTGCACACTGTACTGCACACTGTACTGCACACTGTACTACACTCTATAGTAGACTCTACTGCACACTGTACTACACGCTATAGTAGACTCTACTGTACACTGTACTGCACACTGTACTGCACGCTATAGTAGACTCTACTGCACACTGTACTGCACACTGTACTACACGCTATAGTAGAATCTACTGTACACTGTACTGCACACTGTACTGCACGCTATAGTAGACTCTACTGCACACTGTACTGCACACTGTACTGCACGCTATAGTAGACTCTACTGCACACTGTACTGCACACTGTACTGCACGCTATAGTAGACTCTACTGCACACTGTACTGCACACTGTACTGCACACTGTACTGCACGCTATAGTAGACTCTACTGCACACTGTACTGCACACTGTACTGCACACTATAGTAGACTGTACTGCACACTGTACTGCACACTGTACTGCACGCTATAGTAGAATCTACTGTACACTGTACTGCACACTGTACTGCACGCTATAGTAGACTCTACTGCACACTGTACTGCACGCTATAGTAGACTCTACTGCACACTGTACTGCACACTGTACTACACGCTATAGTAGAATCTACTGTACACTGTACTGCACACTGTACTGCACGCTATAGTAGACTCTACTGCACACTGTACTGCACACTGTACTGCACACTGTACTGCACGCTATAGTAGACTCTACTGCACACTGTACTGCACACTGTACTGCACACTATAGTAGACTGTACTGCACACTGTACTGCACACTGTACTGCACACTGTACTGCACGCTATAGTAGACTCTACTGCACACTGTACTGCACACTGTACTGCACACTGTACTGCACACTGTACTGCACGCTATAGTAGACTCTACTGCACACTGTACTGCACACTGTACTGCACACTGTACTGCACACTATAGTAGACTGTACTGCACACTGTACTGCACACTGTACTGCACACTGTACTGCACGCTATAGTAGACTCTACTGCACACTGTACTGCACACTGTACTACACACTGTACTGCACGCTATAGTAGACTGTACTGCACACTGTACTGCACACTGTACTGCACACTGTACTGCACGCTATAGTAGACTCTACTGCACACTGTACTGCACACTGTACTGCACACTGTACTGCACACTATAGTAGACTGTACTGCACACTGTACTGCACACTGTACTGCACACTGTACTGCACGCTATAGTAGACTCTACTGCACACTGTACTGCACACTGTACTGCACACTATAGTAGACTGTACTGCACGCTGTACTGCACGCTGTACTACACAGTGTACTGCACGCTGTACTTTGTACTGCACGCTGTAGTAGACTGAGGTGAGCTCATATACCTGGAGGCTCCTGACCAATCAGCTGCAGCGTCTGGTGTCTGACAGCAGATGGAGTCAGAGAGCCGCCCAGAACTCTGTCTGGCAGGCCCAGCTTCCTCTCAGACTGCAGGCACATCTCTTAAGGTCAGGTCAAAAGGCATTCTGGGTAGTGTAGGAGATCACTAACTGCAGTGTGTGTGTGTGTGTGTGTGTGTGTGTGTGTGTGTGTGTGTTCAGGACTTCCTGCAGAGGGTGGAGTTGGAGGCGGAGCTCTCTGATTTCTGTCTGAAGTTCGGCTTCGACCTGCTGCTGCTGATGACCATCTCCTTCACTGAGAGCAAAGAGCCAATGAGAGAGCTCGCCGTGTTCAGCCACAGCGCCACCTGCAGGGAAGAGGTACTCAGTGCAGATGCCTGCGTACTGTTGTAGTAGTACTACTGTAGTACTGTATTAGTACTGTTCTACAGGCAGCTGCTGCTTCATCTCGAATTAATTCACGTGTTTTTATTTTAATTTGAGTTGCCGTGACAACCCATGTGTCCTCCCTCCCCCAGATGAGCCTCTACCTGGAACAGGCCCGTAACCCCGCCCTCAACCTCTGTCCAATCAGCAGCCCCCATGCTCACATCACAGCCTATCAGCAAGGTAGACTCTGCCTCCTCTGACCTGCAGCGTCAGAAATCTTTTTGTAACGCACCTGTTTCTGTTAAACCTTAAAGTTCTACATAATTAGGGGCGTGGCCACTTTGACTGACAGGTGTGTATCACTGCTAGCCTTTATGCTACTAGCTGTCTGTCTGTTGTATCCCAGAATGCATTTCGTACCAACAAACAGTGATGGTGGAAGACAAGACTCACAGTCGGTTCTAATCCTGCTGTTTTAAAAGGTTTTTAGGCGGGAATGTATTTGTTTAAACTTAAAATCTGTGGTGGATTTATTCAGATAAAGTCGAGTTACCAAGATGGCGACGGTTGTTCCATCCACTTTGAGCTTGAACAGCTGTTGAGAAACCTTCCGGTGTTTCCTCTGCACTCATTAAAACATTTCTTTTAACTAAAACGTGTTCTTTGTGCCTCGTTAAAGGAAACAGTCTGGCGTCCCGTAAGAAGCTCCTCCCCATCGTTAAGGACTTCCTGAAGGGGCAGGACGGAGATGGTCGCCCGGGAGACGTGGAGGAGGACGAGTCTCGGGTGCCTCCGACCCCGATGAACAGCCTGGTGGAGGGCTGTCCGCTGGACGCCGGCCTGCCGCACATCAGCGCTCAGGACCTGGAGGAGAAGTTCAGCAAGATGGCGGATAGGCGAGGGAACTGACCTCTGACCTCCGCAGACGTTCACCTTTAAACACGTTCAAATAAAAGTTGCAGCTTCACGCCTGCATGTGATGTCACTTCCTCTGAGTTCACTATAATGAAACACTTCCTGTCGATGTTTCACAATAAGTCTTTCGGGGAAGAGACTCTGTCACTGGAGGGATTTTATTGTGAAACAGGAAGTGATGCAGCAAGAGGAAACAGCGAGCAGAACAGACAAGGCGCTGCAGCAGCTTGAAACACATCCTGCTGACCTTTGACCCCAAACTGCTTTATTGTGTTTGTAACGTTATTGATTCATTATTTTCAACAGTTCATTAAATCTTTTTTTAAAAACTGTCAAATTTAACAGAAAAACAGTTTTCACAAAATAAAATCATAAAAATGATCACCAGCAGAACTTCAGCAGTTTGTTTCCAGCCGTTTTGAAGTACGTTCATATAGCGTTACGCTTCCAAACATTTCTCTCGGGGATCCCTGTCAGATTCTGTTTGGCTGATTTGACACGCTGGCGTTTGGCGTTGTAGCCGTGCAGCTGCAGGACGTGGCTTTGTGCTGGTTCAGGTTAGTAGTGTCGCCCTGTGAGGTAGCAGTGAGAGAAAAGCAGGTTTACTCTTCTAAAAGCCAGAACAGTCCCACTCACCTGACGAGCCTGTTCCTCTTTGACACTGACGTTTCTGCAGCGTCGGGTTCTGTCGAGGCGGCTTTACTCTCGCGTGTTACGTGGAATCGCAGCCTTTGCTGTTAGAAGATCTTGTTTTATCACACTTAGCTGCATATTATTGCAAATGCAACTGATGTTCGACCCGAGCGAGCAGCTATTAAGTTATTACTAACTAGTCCAACAGGAAGAAGGCCAGCTCGCCGTCTGTCTCTCTCGACACCGACGCCTTTCTCAGCCAGCAGCAGCTGAATGTTGCTTGAAATTTGGGTGGCGAGCTAGCCAATAAAGCTAACCAGCATAGCTAGCTAGCCAACAAAGCTAGCCAATAAAGCTAACCAGCATAGCTAGCTAGCCAACAAAGCTAGCCAACAAAGCTAGCTAGCCAGCATAGCTGAATAAGGTTTTTCATAGCTTAAGCATATTCCTGTTACAGTGAGCAGTTTCATCTCCAGTGATTAGAAAAACATTTTGTTATCTTGATTTGAAAGATTTAGTTGGATCATTTTGAACAGCCAGATTTGCGGTGACCTTCTTTGACTGACAGAACCACTTCTGAGCATGTGCAGAAAGGATCTGGCAGGCGGTACCGATGTGTGCTAGCTAGTACGTTTGCTAACATCAACTCCAGATTTGTAGCTAGCAGCTAAACGTCTGTGTGTGAAACGTTATCACTGACGAGTCAAGCGGTTTGCAACCTGTGGCCCCTCTAGTGGCTCCCCGACTTTGTGAAAACAATTAAATGATTTAACTTTTTTCATATTACGGGCGGCACGGTGGTGCGGTGGTTAGCACTGTCACCTCACAGCAAGAAGGTCGTGGGTTCAAACCCTGGTTGCCCCGGCCTTTCTGTGTGGAGTTTGCATGTTCTCCCCGTGTCTGTGTGGTTTCTCTCCGGGTGACCGTTCTCTCTAAAGACCTGCAGGCTAGGTTTATTGGTTACCCTAAATTGTCCTTAGGTGAGTGTGACTGGTTGTCTGTCTTTGTGTGGCGACCTGTCCAGGGTGTACCCCACCTTGCGCCCGATGTCAGCTGGGATTGGCTCCAGCCCCCCGCAACCCTGTACGCAGGATAAGCGGTTGACGATGGATGGATGGAACTTTTTTCATATTTACATTTGTCGGGAAGCATTCGACTGTAAAAACATGGAGCATCGAATAAAATGCGTATTAACACTTAATAAACTAAAATGTGCGTCATCGTGCTTCATCGTGGCGCTAAACTCAGTAGCGGTCTGTTCTCAGAGAGCTACAGATTAAAAATCCAAAAATAAAAATAAAGCAGCCAAATAATCCCAACCAGGCTGGAGGCCTCCTGCAGACACTTGGTGGTCAAACATAAGAACGACGGGTCGACCTGTCAGGGAACAGGCTGCAAACTGATGAAAGAAGCTCGCCGTCTGTCCTGCAGCCTCTCAGCTCTTCAACGAGTCAAAGCCAGTCTGATGTTTCCTGTCGCTCTCTCTTCTCGTCTTCTTCAGCTTCTTCTTTCCACACTGAGAACACGGAGAGAACTGTCTACATTATAAACTCTTTGCTTCTTCCTGAACTTGCTGAAGAGTCGCGTTGGTGCCGTAAAGCGTTCCACTGTCATGATAAACGCGCCGAGTCGGCGTCGCATCAAGTTGAGTTTAAAGATGTTTAAGATAAAATTACCACATAATGTTGCTTTAAGTCAAAATTACAGATTATTAAACAATTGAATAAGTCTTGATGCTGAGAAGTGATTTAAAGTCAGAATCTGGAGATTCGTAACGTTTAGGACAGTAAATATAATTTGGAGATAATTAATATAAGTATATAAATTAAGGGACATTTTTTACTATGAGGCAAAATTTTAACTTAAAATTAGTTTTGAGTCAAAACCTCGATCAGAACTTTTCGTCTGTTCGTCAGCTGATGCAGAAGGCGGTCAGTAGGACCCTGAGGACACCCGGCACTTCCTCCTGCTTTAAATAGCCTCAGCAGCCGAGTGGTTAATATTAATGAAGTCGGAGTGAAGCTGACCTGCCGCCTCACCTGGCTGCACAGAGCAGGTGAGCTTCAACCAATCAGACGGCGGCTGTGCTGTGAAATGCAGCCAAACCTGTCGGGCAGAGAGAGAGAGGGCGAGCGAGGGAGAGTCCCATTGAGTCAGAGTGGGAACTTCCACAGAGAGAGAGAGAGTCTGGAGGAAGACAGTCTCTGAGACGTCCAGCTGCTCACATGCTGGTCAGAACACGCCGTGACATCACTGTGACATCATGAGCATCCCCACCAGGCACGCGGACAGGTACGCCGAGGACAGGTACGTTTAACATTGAAAAGTCAAACAGAGATCCTCGGGTTTCACAGCGTGTGTGTGTTGGTTTCCTGTTGCGGCAGAAAGAGGAAGCTCAGCCTCAGCTGGTGTTTCAGTGCAAGCGTCCGTTCTTCCCGACGGTCAGTGAAGGCATCGCTGTGTTGGCTCATTTCATTAAACGTATTTGACAGTTTTAAGTTTCAGAGAAGTAGAAACGCTTCTGCACCTCACAGGTCAGATCTGACGCTGCTGGCTGTTTCCATGGCAACAGATCGTATGTGTTGTGATCCCAGATCAGTTTGTCCACTTCAATAAAGTTTTTTCAGACGAACTCGCGTCGACAGAGAGGAAGGCAGCCTTACTTTAAATAACTCGACTGTCCAATGAGAGTCCATGCAGGCCAGAGACCGATCAGGTGATCAGACGTGTCCCTGAATCTAAAATGAGTCCGAGAGTCTGAATCTGGGCTCCTCGTCTCTGAGTATGTAACTGGTGAACACCTGAAATACCACATCCTCAAACACTGACTTCCTGAAGCTCCCCTGGAACCTTGTTGCCCCTTTACCCTCCTTAAGAAACCCCAAGACTCTCTCAAGAACCATGGAACTAATTCCAGCCCCCCTGGAACCTCTTGAAGAACTCTGTAAACCTGCAGCAGCAGCTCTGGGATTTCTCCAAGGAAAGCTGAAGCTCTTCAGGCACTCATGAAAAAGTCATCAAGAACCCTGAAAAATCCCTCAAGAACTCTTTACGTCCCCAAGGACCCTGGAATCTCCTGGAACCTTGTCAAGCACTTCTGTAACTTCAGGAACCTTGGAACCCCCTCAAGCACCTGAAGACCACCTGCAACCTTCTCTGGAACCCGCTGTAGAACCTGGACAGGAAAGAACACCTGAGAGAACAGGACCCTGCTGAGAGTTCTGGAGTTTCCCAGTCAGACCCTGAAGGCACCACAGTAGAAACACAACCCCCCCGCCCCTTTGTGTTCCACATCTCTCAGGTGTGGTGACCTGGGTGTGTGTGTCTGCTTCAGTAACAACAAACAGAGGAACAGTAGAGCCCCGCCCCTCCTCACCTGCCCAGGTGAACAATCAGAATCAGAGCGGTCGGGCAGGTTCGTTCAGTCCCATCAGACTCAGATTTTAAAAGCACGACGAGCTGCTCGCAGGATTGAGGAGTGTTACACGCCGACAGGTAACCGGTGAGAGACGCCTGACAGCATCTTTGTGTTTAACAGGAAAAGCAGGAAGAAGCTGGTGTCAGAGAGGGAGCGAGGCGCCGTGGTGACTCGCTGTAAAGTAAACTCGTCCCTTCAGGGCTTCGTGACCTCCAGCAGGTTTTGGTTCCTCAGTAAATAATCTGAGGCCTCCACACAGCCCGTGTTCTCCAGTCCTACAGTCAGAATCACTCCATCGTTTCGAGCGAGCATTTGTTCTGTGGTTCTACTCGCCTTTTTGATGTTTGTGTGTATTTTTGTCTTTTCTATGAATTTAATTTAATTGAATTATTTTATCTCTGGTTGGAGTGGACGTTAGGACGTCCTTGAAGACGAGACAAAGGGCTTAATCCTATAGAACAAACTTCAGCTCCGTGTCCTCCCCGTGTCTCTGACTCAGAACTGATCTGTGGTCAGTGCTGGAGGTCTGCAGTACATTTACTCTGGTTGTGTACTTCAGTATTATTACTGAAACTTCTCAGATGTTTGATATAAAACATGTGAATTAAACTGTTTCTGTCATCATCTAGTAATTATCACAGGGAACATCCCGCTGCGTAACAAGTACTTTTCCTGATTATACTTGTGTACTTTTACTTGCATAACTCCAAACTCTACTGCTGCTGATTTATACTGTATGGGTGTTGTCCCTGCAGGGTTCCCGTAGGGGCCTGGGGCCCCCCCAACATCCAGGACATGGAGCTGAGGGAGGAGTGGCAGGACGACGGCTTCCCCAGGTCAGACTTCACCTTGGTCTGCTCTCTGTTTGTTCGTCTTATCTCAGTTTCTGTGGTTTCCTCTCGCTGCTCCGGCTGGTTCTGCAGCACAAACAGGTTCTGATCCGAGAGATCACGTTAGTATTAAAACTGCACCGTGCTGCGTCGGCCGGTGTTGTTAGAGCACTGCAGCTTTTCTGCATGTAACAGCTGTTTGACACGAAGCTGGTCCTTATCACACTTTATTTGCCAGGTGTGTGGAAACACAGGAGGAATGTGACTCCGGATTAGACTCAGCTCACGATGTTCTTACAGTACACAGTATCTAGTACATAGTATACAGTACACTCACGTATACACACTCTCCAGAAAAGGAAGTATTTTTGTGCCGATGTAGGTGAGTCAGGTGGATATGATATATACAGGCAGTGGTGGACAGTTACTAAGTACATTTACATGTACAAATGAGTTGTACCTGTACAGTACTTGAGTATTTTCTCTTCATGCCACTATCTCCTTCTGCTCCATCTCAGAGGGAGATCTTACTTTACTTTTTTACTTGACTACATTTATCTGACAGCTTCAGTTACTTTGCAAAGTCAGATTTTTAGACAAAACACACAGAGTCTATAAAATACCATGTTATGGAATAATAATTGTGTGTGTATGTATATATATATATATATATATATATATATATATATATATATATATATATATATACAACAGTAACTGGGGACATTTTACTGCAGTGAGTACTTTTAATACTTTAAGTCAATTTTCCTGATATTTATATTTTTATTGTATTTAATTTTACTTAAGTAACATTTTCAATGCAGGAATTTTACTTGAGTACTTCATTCTCCTCTGTATACAATACGACCAGTAGGAACATCACTGAGTTACAGAATGATTGATGAATAAGAAACAGAGAGCAGGTGGATGTTGGAGTTACTGGGCTGTCAGCTGCGATCAGAGTGAAGGCCTCTGGGTAGAAACTGTGTCTGTTCGTTATGTGTAAAATCTGCTGCTTCTGACTCTGATGTTTAATGTGTTTGGTGTGGTGGTGGGGGTTCAGGCCTCTCCCAGAGGATTGTGGGAGTCCAGAGGAGGTGGAGAGTCCGTCAGGCGGTGAGCAGCGACCAGGTGAGCCTGAAAGTCCTGTTTTGTTTTTCTCCAAATGTATTTGCTTCGTATGAATTGTAGAAAATGATAAACAATAAATAAGAATTCATTATTATTTAGACTGAATATTTCATGCCGTCAACATGTTTGTGTACAAAGCCTGTTGCAAACTGACTTGAATTAATATAATAATAATAAATAATAGGAGTGAAAGATTCTTTCATTCTGATTGAATGTGTAATATGACCCACAAACATACGCAGCATTACTTAATCTATAGTTTCACGTAGCCTAATAATAATGTAGGTTTCACAAATGTGAAAAGTTTCACCACAACAAGGTAAAGTATAGGTATTGTGGATCCATTTGTACAAATGAACTAGTGTTTGTGGATCCACTTTTAAATGTCAACGAGTATTTGTAGATTTATTTGTACTAGTGAACAAGTGTTTGTGGATCTACTTTTAAGAGTCAACCAGTGTTTGTGGATCCATTTGTACAAGTCAACGAGTGTTTCTGGATCGCTTCCTGTAAGTTTGTGAACCATGTGATATTTGTGACTTCCCTTGTTGTCATGCAGCAGATCTGTAGGACAAATCCACCTGTGAGCCACAGCTGCACTTTAATATGTTCCATGTGTTCATCACAAGTGTATAATATGTTAACACCCAGGAGTGAACAACAACTGCCTTCGTGTTAACACGTTAATCATTTTACATTAACATGTGGTAAATTGAAACTCAGCTTAACCACAGCAAATATAACAAATTAAATATTAATAAATTTAATTATGATCATTTTGCGTATACTTTGTTTACAATTCTCAATAGAAGGCTAATATTGTTTAACCGTTCACACCTTCACGCTGCGTATGTTTGTGGATCATGTTTACATTTGTGGATTGTCTTCTGTCTCCATTCAGAACGTCCATAGGTAACAGTTACGTAAATTTTGACTGAGGGGGGCGCATGTCAGTTACTAACTGAAAACCTTCTCTCCCTCCCTCAGCACCGCCTAACAGCCTCGCCCTATCAGGAACTGTTGGTGGCGGAGCTAAGAAGCGTCTGGCGGCACCGTCACTCAGCCTCACTTTGAGCCACAAAGATTCTATGGACCCGAGCAGTGATGGGTTCTCTGCAGCAGCGCTGTCTGCAACACCGGACGAGACGCCTTCACTCGACATAAACCTGGAGGCTTTGGAGACCCCTTCAGGTAGCGAGTCGGGAACGCTGCCAGATGGCATCTACGAGCTGGAGTGGGAAGGTGAGACTGGCTGACCTCGGACAGCTGGTTAGAGAGATGACACGTATACACAGACTAACATAACTAACATTTTACATTTACAGGCCAAAGCCTCCTACAAGCTTGAGGCAAGATAAACAGAATTACATTAAAAAAAGAGAAACAATATTGATTTGAGAGAGAGAACCAATCACAGGGCGGCACATGGAGACACCACATTCACACCTGCAGTAACACGAACGCCTCGTTCAGACCACCAGCCCAGATTCATTTTTTGGCATTTCCAGATTTATTTTTAAAAGTCTGGACACCGCGTTGGTTAAAGAGTTAAGGTCAATTTATACTTCTTTATTTAAACTCTGGCCTCTTTCTGACAGATGACCTACCCCAGATGGGGAGGGGCAGGGCTGCAAGCGTGACCAGGAGCACGATGGAGTCAGAGGGTCTGATGGAGCTGGACCAGGTGGACAGCAGGGGGCGCCGCTGGAGGAAGTTCAGCATCGGTGGACATGAATATCACGTCAACATGAGTGTGCTGGAGCCGTACCTTCAGGTCCTGTCACACGGAGGTCAGAGGTCACACACAGTCACCTGAAACACTTCTGTAGATCCCGTGACAGGAAACGCCCACAGATCAGCTGACTGACTGAACACACCTGTAACACACCTCAACACACTGTAACACACATGTAACACACATGTAACACACTGTAACACACCTGTAACACACATGTAACACACCTGTAACACAACTCAACACACTGTAACACACCTGTAACACACCTGTAACACACTGTAACACACTGTAACACACCTGTAACACACCTGTAACACACCTGTAACACACATGTAACACACTGTAACACACCTGTAACACACATGTAACACACCTGTAACACAACTCAACACACTGTAACACACCTGTAACACACCTGTAACACACTGTAACACACCTGTAACACACATGTAACACACATGTAACACACCTGTAACACAACTCAACACACTGTAACACACCTGTAACACACTGTAACACACATGTAACACACCTCAACACACTGTAACACACATGTAACACACATGTAACACACTGTAACACACCTGTAACACACATGTAACACACATGTAACACACATGTAACACACCTGTAACACACATGTAACACACATGTAACACACCTGTAACACACATGTAACACACATGTAACACACCTGTAACACACATGTAACACACCTGTAACACACCTGTAACACAACTCAACACATTGTAACACACCTGTAACACACCTCAACACACTGTAACACACTGTAACACACATGTAACACACTGTAACACACCTCAACACACTGTAACACACATGTAACACACTGTAACACACCTGTAACACAACTCAACACACTGTAACATACATGTAACACACATGTAACACACATGTAACACACCTCAACACACCTGTAACACACCTCAACACACCTGTAACACACCTCAACACACTGTAACACACCTCAACACACTGTAACACACATGTAACACACATGTAACACACCTCAACACACTGTAACACACCTCAACACACTGTAACACACCTCAACACACTGTAACACACATGCAGCACACTGTAACACACCTCAACACACCTGTAACACACTGTAACACACCTGTAACACACTGTAACACACCTGTAACACACCTCAACACACTGTAACATACATCAACACACTGTAACACATCTGTAACACACCTCAACACACTGTAACACACCTCAACACACTGTAACACATCTGTAACACACCTCAACACACTGTAACATACCTCAACACACTGTAACACATCTGTAACACACCTCAACACACTGTAACACACTGTAACACACTGTAACACACCTCAACACACTGTAACATACCTCAACACACTGTAACACATCTGTAACACACCTCAACACACTGTAACACACGTAACACACTGTAACACACCTGTAACACAGTGTAACACACCTCAACACCCTGTAACACACATGTAACACACATGTAACACACCTGTAACACAACTCAACACACCTGTAACACACCTGTAACACACCTGTAACACACCTGTAACACACATGTAACACACTGTAACACACCTGTAACACACCTCAACACACTGTAACACACATGTAACACACCTCAACACACATCAACACACCTGTAACACACCTGTAACACAACTCAACACATTGTAACACACCTGTAACACACCTCAACACACTGTAACACACCTGTAACACATTGTAACACACCTCAACACACTGTAACACACTGTAACACACCTCAACACACTGTAACACACATGTAACACACTGTAACACACCTCAACACACTGTAACACACATGTAACACACTGTAACACACCTGTAACACAACTCAACACACTGTAACACACATGTAACACACTGTAACACACCTGTAACACAACTCAACACACTGTAACACACATGTAACACACATGTAACACACCTGTAACACACCTCAACACACCTGTAACACACCTCAACACACTGTAACACACCTCAACACACTGTAACACACATGTAACACACTGTACCACACCTGTAACACAACTCAACACACTGTAACACACCTCAACACACTGTAACACACATGTAACACACATGTAACACACCTCAACACACTGTAACACACCGCAACACACTGTAACACACATGCAACACACTGTAACACACCTCAACACACTGTAACACACATGTAACACACATGTAACACACCTCAACACACTGTAACACACCTGTAACACACCTCAACACACCTGTAACACACTGTAACACACCTGTAACACACCTGTAACACACCTCAACACACTGTAACATACCTCAACACACTGTAACACATCTGTAACACACCTCAACACATTGTAACACACTGTAACACACTGTAACACACCTCAACACACTGTAACACATCTGTAACACACTGTAACACACTGTAACACACCTCAACACACTGTAACATACCTCAACACACTGTAACACATCTGTAACACACCTCAACACATTGTAACACACTGTAACACACTGTAACACACCTCAACACACTGTAACACATCTGTAACACACTGTAACACACTGTAACACACCTCAACACACTGTAACACATCTGTAACACACTGTAACACAGTGTAACACACCTGCAACACTCTGTATAGATTGATATTTTCTGAGTAGTTGTTGTTGGAAAGAGTTTTATTTGCGGGACACATGAAGTCAGTCGGTGACTCTCATCTGATTGGTCAGGTTACTATGGAGACGAGATGAACGCCATCATCCTGTTCACCTCCTGCTACCTGCCGGAGAACACGGTGGAGGACTATGAGTACGTCATGGACAACCTGTTCAGGTGAGTTGACACAGTTGAAACCGGAGAATATGTAAACATGACGTCCACCCGTCTCGGCATGAACGAACTGTGAATGATGTTGTTTGTTTGTTTGTGTGTTTGTGTGTCCTCCTGCAGGTATATTGTGGGCACGTTGGACCTGATGGTTTCAGAGAAGTACATCCTGGTCTACCTGTGTGCCATGGCTCCCAGAAACAAGCTGCCGGCCATCAAATGGCTCCACCAGTGCTACACCTCCATCGACCGCAGGTACGCTGCTTTCACTGTCACGCTGACGTTGTTACCTGAGTCTGACGTTTGGGGAGTTTCTGTAAATATCCCGCATAAATAAAACAGGAAATGAGAAAGAGTCCCAGCTTGTTTCTGTGTGTCCAGGCTGAAGAAGGACCTGAGGGGGCTGCTGGTCGTCCATCCCGCCTGGTACATCAGAGCTCTCATCACTGTGGTCAAACCCTTCATCAGGTCTGCAACACACACACCTGTTCATCTAGCTCACCTGACTACACATACACTGAGGGTTTAAACTCACGGCGCATCCCAGTTCTCTTATTTTACGTTTTCTTGCTTCTCGCTTCAACCGAAAGGCGTTCTGGTCGGCCATCTTGCAGGCCGTGCCAAAGCTCTTATTTCTGCTCTGACGATCGAGGAGATGCGTCCTGACACGCCCCCTTGTTGGATATAAGTTATTGATTGAACGCTGCAGCTGATCACATACAGACGTCGCTTCAGAAGACGCTTCAGAGGAGAGGACGCCTCTGAAATGTTGACGGAACTTGTGCATAACAGAGACCAGTGTTCCCCCTGTGTTCAGCACACCACTGCTGCAGAATGAATAACCTCCCTGCTTAAATGTCACACAATCATTAGTATCAATGCACAAGTGATGATTTTAACTCGCACACTGTGCGAGCATGGCGACATTGAACGCCTGGCAGCTCTCTATGTGAGGCCGAGCAAATGAGAGAGAGCGAGCGGCAGAACGTGACGGTGAAAGTTTGCGGAGGAAAATATTAGCAGGAAGTTTCAGTCTGGCAGTAAAGCTGCAGTGTGTCGTTTCCCCAACAGCTGGAAAGCTAAAGGCGGTTAGCGCGAGATGCCCAGAGATTCCCACCCCTCGACAATACGATCGACTTTAATCATCAATAACTGTTTAGTTTTCCAACAGAGAAATCTCACAGCCCTGCCAGTGTAGATGGAGACCAACCTGAAACATCAAACACCTCAGAGATTGTAAAGAAGAGAACGCCTAAATTATTTACACACATTGAAAGGTTGTGATTTCAACATTACGGCCTCTCATCTGTCCTGCACATCCTGTTTCACAGCTGCTAGTTGTTCAGATGTTTTTATTGAAGGAGGACAGGATGGGATCTATCGTTGTGTTTTTGTTTTGCACCGTGGCTTCACGTTGGTTTCGAGAATTGAAGAATTTTACTGGTATCGACTGCTACGTTGGGGCGGCTGTGGCTCAGGAGGTAGAGCGGGTTAGCCGTTAATCGGAAGGTCGGCGGTTCAATCCTGGCTCCCCCTGGTTGCAAGTCGAAGTGTCCTTGGGCAAGATACTGAACCCCGAATTGCCCCTGGCGGCTGTTCCGCCAGTGTATGAGTGAGTGTGAATGTTAGTTTCCGTTTGAGCCCTTAGGCTCAGTGTATGAATGTGTGTGACTGGTGAATGCAGATGTAGTGTAAAAGCGCTTTGAGTGGTCGAAAAGACTAGAAAGGCGCTATACAAGTACGGAGCATTTACATTTACATTTCTTGTATCATGACATCCCTAACATAGAGACGGCACACACCAAGAACAATAATGTTCTGTCCGGTTCCTGTCCACTGACTCTCTGTCGTCCACAGCGAGAAGTTCAGCAGGAAGATTCGGTTCATCCAGACTCTGCAGCAGCTGTCCGAGATCATCCCCACAGAACGTCTGCAGATCCCCGATGCAATACGACAGTAAGGACGCCGCTGCTACTGTCCACTTCTACTGTCTGGTTCTTGTTCTACTGATTGTTCGACTTTCTCTGTTCGACCATCGATGTTCCACTGTCTCTGTTCTACTGTCTCTGTTCTGCTGACTGTTCTGCTGTCTGTTCCACTGTCTCTGTTCGACCATCGATGTTCCACTGTCTCTGTTCTACTGTCGCTGCTCTACTGACTCTGTTCCTCTGTCTCTGTTCTGTGCACTGTTCTACTGTCTCTGTTCTACTGTCTCTGTTCGACCATTGCTGTTCTGCTGTCTGTTCGACTGTCTCTGTTCCACTGTCTCTGTTCCACTGTCTCTGTTCTACTGTCGCTGCTCTACTGACTCTGTTCCTCTGTCTCTGTTCTGTGCACTGTTCTACTGTCTCTGTTCCTCTGTCTCTGTTCCTCTGTCTCTGTTCTACTGTCGCTGTTCTACTGTCTCTGTTCTACTGTCTCTGTTCGACCATTGCTGTTCTACTGTCTGTTGTTCTGATTGTTCAACTTTCTCTGTTCTGTTGATTGTTCGACTGTCGCTGTTCAACCGTCTCTGTTCTACTAACTGTTCTACTGTCTCTATTCTACTGTGTCTATTCTACTGTCGCTGCTCTACTGACTTTGTTCAACCGTCTCTGTTCTGCTGACTGTTTTACTGTCTCTGATCTACTAACTGTTCTACTGTCGCTGTTTGACTATCTCTGTTTGACCATCGCTGTTCTACTGTCTCTGTTCTACTGTCTCTGTTCGACTGTCTCTGTTCGACTGTCTCAGTTCTACTGTCTCTGTTCGACTGTCTCAGTTCTACTGTCTCTGTTCGACTGTCTCAGTTCCTCTGTCTCTGTTCTACTGTCGCTGCTCTACTGACTCTGTTCCTCTGTCTCTGTTCTGTGCACTTTTCTACTGTCTCTGTTCTACTGTCTCTGTTCGACCATTGCTGTTCTGCTGTCTGTTCGACTGTCTCTGTTCCACTGTCTCTGTTCCACTGTCTCTGTTCTACTGTCGCTGCTCTACTGACTCTGTTCCTCTGTCTCTGTTCTACTGTCGCTGTTCTACTGTCTCTGTTCTACTGTCTCTGTTCGACCATTGCTGTTCTACTGTCTGTTGTTCTGATTGTTCAACTTTCTCTGTTCTGTTGATTGTTCGACTGTCGCTGTTCAACCGTCTCTGTTCTACTAACTGTTCTACTGTCTCTATTCTACTGTGTCTATTCTACTGTCGCTGCTCTACTGACTTTGTTCAACCGTCTCTGTTCTGCTGACTGTTTTAATGTCTCTGATCTACTAACTGTTCTACTGTCGCTGTTTGACTATCTCTGTTTGACCATCTCTGTTTGACCATCGCTGTTCTACTGTCTCTGTTCGACTGTCTCTGTTCGACTGTCGCTGTTCTACTGTCGCTGTTCTACTGTCTCTGTTCGACTGTCTCTGTTCGACTGTCTCTGTTCGACTGTCTCTGTTCGACTGTCGCTGTTCTACTGTCTCTGTTCGACTGTCTCTGTTCTACTGTCTCTGTTCGACTGTCTCTGTTCGACTGTCGCTGTTCTACTGTCTCTGTTCGACTGTCGCTGTTCTACTGTCTCTGTTCGACTGTCTCTGTTCGACTGTCGCTGTTCTACTGTCGCTGTTCTACTGTCTCTGTTCGACTGTCTCTGTTCGACTGTCTCTGTTCGACTGTCTCTGTTCGACTGTCGCTGTTCTACTGTCTCTGTTCTACTGTCTCTGTTCTACTGTCGCTGTTCTACTGTCGCTGTTCGACTGTCTCAGTTCTACTGTCGCTGTTCTGCTGACTGTTCTACTGTCACTGTTCTACTGTCGCTGTTCTACTGTCTCTGTTCGACTGTCTCTGTTCTGCTGACTGTTCTACTGTCTCTGTTCTACTGTCTCTGTTCTGCTGACTGTTCTACTGTCTCAGTTCTACTGTCTCAGTTAGACTGTCTCTGTTCTGCTGACTGTTCTACTGTCTCAGTTCTACTGTCTCTGTTCTGCTGACTGTTCGACTGTCTCTGTTCGACTGTCGCTGTTCTGCTGACTGTTCTACTGTCTCAGTTCTACTGTCTCAGTTAGACTGTCTCTGTTCTGCTGACTGTTCTACTGTCTCAGTTCTACTGTCTCTGTTCTGCTGACTGTTCGACTGTCTCTGTTCGACTGTCGCTGTTCGACTGTCTCTGTTCTACTGTCTCAGTTCTACTGTCTCTGTTCTGCTGACTGTTCTACTGTCTCAGTTCTACTGTCTCTGTTCTGCTGACTGTTCTACTGTCTCAGTTCGACTGTCTCAGTTCGAATGTCTCTGTTCTGCTGACTGTTCTACTGTCTCAGTTCTACTGTCTCAGTTCTACTGTCTCTGTTCTGCTGACTGTTCTACTGTCTCAGTTCTACTGTCTCAGTTCTACTGTCTCTGTTCTGCTGACTGTTCGACTGTCTCAGTTCGACTGTCTCAGTTCGACTGTCGCTGTTTGACTGTCGCTGTTCGAGTGTCGCAGTTCTACTGTCTCAGTTCGACTGTCTCTGTTCTGCTGACTGTTCTACTGTCTCAGTTCTACTGTCTCTGTTCGACTGTCTCTGTTCTGCTGACTGTTCTACTGTCTCAGTTCTACTGTCTCAGTTCGACTGTCGCTGTTCGACTGTCGCTGTTCGAGTGTCGCAGTTCTACTGTCTCAGTTCTACTGTCTCTGTTCTGCTGACTGTTCTACTGTCTCAGTTCTACTGTCTCTGTTCTGCTGAATGTTCTACTGTCTCAGTTCGACTGTCTCTGTTCGACTGTCGCTGTTCAACTGTCGCTGTTCGACTGTCTCTGTTCGACTGTCTCTGTTCGACTGTCTCTGTTCTGCTGACTGTTCTACTGTCGCTGTTCTACTGTCTCAGTTCTACTGTCTCTGTTCTGCTGACTGTTCTACTGTCTCTGTTCGACTGTCGCTGTTCGACTGTCGCTGTTCGACTGTCTCTGTTCGACTGTCTCTGTTCGACTGTCTCTGTTCTGCTGACTGTTCTACTGTCTCTGTTCTACTGTCGCTGTTCTACTGTCACTGTTCTACTGTCTCTGTTCTGCTGACTGTTCTACTGTCACTGTTCTACTGTCGCTGTTCTACTGTCTCAGTTCTACTGACTGTTCTACTGTCTCAGTTCGACTGTCTCTGTTCTAATGTGGTTCTCTTTTTGTGGTTCTCCCGCACTGTAAACTGCGGTTGATGTTGAACTGTCGCTTGTGTCCTGCAGGTTTGATGAGAAGCTGAACAGATGACGATCACAGACTGGATCGATCCTAAAGGTCAGAGGTCATCAGACTGAGCGCCTCCTGCTGATGACCTTTGACCTCCTGCCTTTACAAAGACTCTGGGTTTATTTATACTGTCTGTCTTTAATCAGGGCGGGGCCGTCTGGTTCTCCTGCAGCTTCGGACTCATTTCAGCTCTGAACCTTTAAGCCGCCATGTTCTATCCTAAATCGTCAAACTGGGCACAGGTCGGTGGTGTAACTGTGACTCCACCCCCCACCGTGTGTCAGGTAGATGGAGCTCAACAGCTCATTTTAAACTCTGCAGGAACCAACCCGTCTTAAAAAGGAACGTGTTGCAGGTGTGTTGATGATGTCGCCTGTAGAACGACCTCCGTCTGTCAGCTGCAGCAGGGAGAACAGATGTTTCTGTATCAGCACCTGCTGCACTAACGTACCTGTAATAAAAGTATCGATCAAACCTTTTTACCAGATCACCCCTGTTCTTCACAGCTTCAGTATCTTACTACAGAAACGGTCCTGACAGAGGAACGAATGTTCCTGTTGCTCTGCAGAGACGCTGTGAACGCTCAAAGACTCAAATCCTTTTAAAACACGACCAACAGAGCCACTGATCAATCTGCAAGATTTCTGTTCATTAATAAAACAGAATCAGCGTTCATTTAAACGCCTCGGCTGGTTGAAATGCTGTTTTCTAAAAGTTTTCTCAACTCTGGTGAGCTGATGAACGACTTGTATTTTTATACGTTGATGTATTTCTTTCTTGTTATTAGTGTTTGTATCATGATTCCTTTGGGTCAAATTCAGTCCAGGTCAGTAAAATCCTGAAACATGACATTTTATTCTGTTGTGCACACAAGATAAAAAATCTTTCAGGACTTTGAGGTCTAAAAAAGTTTGTATGCTCCTGAAATGCAGCAGCAGATGTTTCCAGGTGAGTTTCTCTTTCTTCAGCATCTGAAGAAGAACATTAGATGGTGGGCGTCAGGAACAAACTGAGTCTCTGTTCAAATATAGGTTTTCCTCCATTTGATGAACTGAAATCAGCTCCTCGTCAGTCCAGCAGAGGGCAGCCTGTTCCCACGAACACCACTGGGTCTCAAACAGGTCCTGGTCCAGAGTCCCTGTAGGTTTCCTAAAGACACATGTTAGACTTTTAAAGAACTTTTTAGCCTCTTTACAGTTTTTCTTGAGTAGTTTTAAAATCATTGTAAAGATCCTCTAAGTGAATCTAGTTTAGGCCTTTAGTGTGTTCAGTTTTTTCCAGCTCTTCAGGCTCCATGTTTTTATGGATTTATTTTCAAAATTATCAAACTTTCTTCTGTCTCTAAACAAGAACCCTAAAAGAGTAACTTGGTGGCTACATACATGGTACCATGCTAACTTAACAGACTGAGACTAAAGCTAATGTGTCCCAGTCATAAATGGTCCCTAAAGCTAATGTGTCCCAGTCATAGATGGTCCCTAAAGCTAATGTGTCCCAGTCATAAATGGTCCCTAAAGCTAATGTGTCCCAGTCATAGATGGTCCCTAAAGCTAATGTGTCCCAGTCATAAATGGTCCCTAAAGCTAATGTGTCCCAGTCATAGATGGTCCCTAAAGCTAATGTGTCCCAGTCATAAATGGTCCCTAAAGCTAATGTGTCCCAGTCATAGATGGTCCCTAAAGCTAATGTGTCCCAGTCATAAATGGTCCCTAAAGCTAATGTGTCCCAGTCATAGATGGTCCCTAAAGCTAATGTGTCCCAGTCATAGATGGTCCCTAAAGCTAATGTGTCCCAGTCATAAATGGTCCCTAAAGCTAATGTGTCCCAGTCATAGATGGTCCCTAAAGCTAATGTGTCCCAGTCATAAATGGTCCCTAAAGCTAATGTGTCCCAGTCATAAATGGTCCTAAAGCTAATGTGTCCCAGTCATAGATGGTCCCTAAAGCTAATGTGTCCCAGTCATAAATGGTCCCTAAAGCTAATGTGTCCCAGTCATAAATGGTCCCTAAAGCTAATGTGTCCCAGTCATAAATGGTCCTAAAGCTAATGTGTCCCAGTCATAGATGGTCCCTAAAGCTAATGTGTCCCAGTCATAAATGGTCCCTAAAGCTAATGTGTCCCAATCATAAATGGTCCCTAAAGCTAATGTGTCCCAGTCATAAATGGTCCCTAAAGCTAATGTGTCCCAGTCATAAATGGTCCTAAAGCTAATGTGTCCCAGTCATAAATGGTCCCTAAAGCTAATGTGTCCCAGTCATAAATGGTCCCTAAAGCTAATGTGTCCCAGTCATAAATGGTCCTAAAGCTAATGTGTCCCAGTCATAGATGGTCCCTAAAGCTAATGTGTCCCAGTCATAGATGGTCCCTAAAGCTAATGTGTCCCAGTCATAGATGGTCCCAGGACATGCTATCATGCTAACAGACTCAGACTAAAGGTCCCAGTCATCATCTTCATCGATATCAGTTTGTAGAAGACACAATAACAAGAAGTATTGCAGCTAGTAAGTCCTTGCGTTGTTATTAGTATGATGAGGAAAAATGTAACATCTCTTCATTTCAGCTGAACTTTATTGTCCAACTCAGAGTTATTAAGTAAGATCATCTTATTTAACAGCTCTGGTCAGACTCTTGGTCACATCAGTCACTTTATTAGGAACTTACTGGACTGTAAAATCCAGCCACACCCAGATGTGTGACATCCAGACTTCAACAGCAACACAGTGGAGCTGAGACTTCTTTAAATATCGGGACGTGACTGTATTTCAGTGGAAGGAGCGGCGTTTTCCCATAAACGGATATTAATAGAGTCCCAGTTGTTTATTGTCGCTGTTTCTGCAGCAGGTGTCAGTAAATCTGACTCCCGCGCGCTGCTCCTCATTCTGGCCCGATAGCGGCGCAGCCTGCGCCACGAGCTGTCCACGCGTCCGCTCTGCGCTCTGATTGGCTGCAGTGGCCCAAACAGCCCGCGCTGGCCAATCGGAGAGCTCCACCCTCCAGCGGCTCGGCGTGTCCACGCCGCGTGCACGTGCTGCTCGGCGAGAGGTAACGGACACCGGGATCCCCCGCCGGTATATAACTGCCCTCAAACTGTTTACCGACACGGACACCGAAACTGACGACCAAACAGCCCGTTTGTATTTGTTTACCGTAAATATCTCGAGTTTAAATCATCTCTGTGACGGAGTTCATCAAATGTTATGACCATATTTTATTTCATTATTATCACTTTATTTCCCATCTAATTAAATTAGATTAGTTGTTTTATTGCGATCACCGGTCTCGGAACCTTAAGTTACACCAGTACCGGCACCGTCATGGTTCTGTCTCCGGGGAACAAGCTGAAAGTCTTCCAGCTGGTCTTCTCGGACCCCGGCCGGTCCTTCTACAGCAGCGGGGAGAAGCTGTCCGGCTCCGTGCTGCTGGAGGCGGCTCAGCCCTGCAGGGTGACCGGCCTCAGGGTCACCGCCGCCGGCTGCGCCCGGGTGGAGCACCGCGGCGGGAAGAACCGCAAGAACCGGAGCCAGGAGGTGGAGTACCTGAAGTACGAGGAGGAGCTGCGGCTGGAGGAGCAGCTCAGTAAAGGTACACAGCAGCGTGTATTTGTACTCTGTGTACTGTCAGTAGAGTTAAATCCCAACATGTGAAATATGTCGGATTGAGCCTTTAAAAGATGAACTGTTTAAATAAATAGCAGAAATATTAGATTTGTTCATGTGGATCGATTATTTCCACTCTCTTGTTGTTTAATTCTATATGAATTTGAAGTGAGATTTGACGGTAGATGGTAGTGAGATGGTAATTATCACAATATTTTCCTCAATAACAAAATAACATGTTCAATAAATGTTTGATTTAATTTATTTGCAACGAATCGGCTGCTAATGTTTCTATCGAAATGTTTATTTTGTTGATCTGTTTCTAATGATAAACACGATCCCTCTCTGGGATCACAGACACCACAGACTTCGGTCCAGACGTGAGACAACAGTTGTTGTGATTTATATAAATAAAACTGGATTGGATGATCAGTTCTGTATCGATCGATGACGTGGTGGCGTTTGTCCGCAGGCTCAGACGGCTGCTTCCTGCTGCAGCCGGCTAAAACCTACAGCTTCCAGTTCGGCTTCGAGCTTCCTGCGGCCGGGTGAGTCCCACATCGATTACAGCGGATCTGATATCTGTCACTGATCGCAGCAGGTGATCCTGACGTGACCTCTGCTCTGGTTTCAGGCGCCTGGTGTCGTCCTACAAAGGAAAGTTCGGCTACGTCCGTTACTACGTGCGGGCGGTGCTGGACAAGCCTTCCCAGCATGCTTTGCAGTGTGAGAGGGAGTTTGAGGTGGAGGAGCCGCTGGATGTGAACCGACCCGACCTGCTGGTACGAAACACACCAACACGTCCAGCTGACCCGGTGTCAGGATCTGCCGAGTCAGATTTCAGTTTCCTGGTTCGGGGCCCGTCGTCACGCTGAGTCACCTAACTAACAACACGCCGTCTGTAATTAGATCTGATTGGTTAAACGCCGCAGTGTGAGGACGGGATCAATAACAACAAACAGTGCGCGATCACCATCTCACTCGCAGAACGTTCCTGAACATGCGACCGGGCCGACCGTCAGCGGGTCGTCCACTGATCACAGGGTCGGGGGTTCGATCCCCGGTCCACGTGTTGAAGAGTGCTGAACCAGCAGCTCCGATTAGAACCTCTGAACCACCCTCATCCTCTTGGTTCTGGTTCTGGGGGGGTTGTGCCCACTAAACCCGACGCGTGGCAGACATCTGAACGACCTCCGCGATCTGTTATCGACATAAAGCCAGAACCAGCAGTCTCAGGTTCCTCTGGGTTCCACCAGGCTTTTTCTAACAAGCAGAACCAGAACTGAGTTTGCTGACAGGCCATTAGTCCGTGTATTGTGGTCTGGATCTTTACTGAGGTCTCTGTCCTCCTCAGGCTCCGGCTGCAGCCTCCAGACAGAAGAAGGTCACCTGCATGTTCATCCCTGACGGCCAGGTGTCCGTCAGCGCTCGGATCGACAGGAAGGGCTTCTGTGAGGGAGAAGACATCAACATCAGCGCCAAGTTTGAGAACACCTGTTCCCGTATCGTGGTCCCGAAGGCCGCCATCATCGCCAAACACTCGTATGTGGCCGACGGACACACCAAGGTGACGCCCGGACACGAGGATGGTTTCCTGACGCCGCGACGGGCCGAACGCTGACAGGAGCTCTGACCTCTGACTTTTACTCTGTTCAGGTTTTTCGTCAGAAACTGTCGGCGGTCCGAGGAAACCACATCATCTCCGGGATGTGCGACATGTGGCAGGGGAAGACCATCCGAGTCCCCAAACTGAAGCCGTCGCTGCTCGGCTGTGACATCATCAAGGTGGACTACGCCCTCATGGTGAGTCGTGGTCGATGGCAGCAGCATAGATCAGTACTTAACAAACGTACACGAGGTCGGGTGCTAACCTGCGCCTGCTCCCCCAGATCTACCTGCACATCCCCGGCAGCGAGAAGCTGGTCCTGGAGCTGCCCCTGGTCATCGGGACGATCCCGTTCAGCGGCGTGGGCAGCAGGACCAGCAGCATGAGCAGCCAGGCCGGGTCCCTGAGCAGCCAGGCCGGGTCCCTGAGCAGCTGGTCCTCCTTGCCCTCGGCCCCTCCCAGCTACAGTAACATCCACAGAGACCTGAGGGTGGACGGCCCCCGCACCCCGCTGCTCCAGGACTACGACGGCGTGGAGGACGACGAGGACGAGGGCGGGCTCTTCATGAGAGCGCCGGAGGTGTACTACCCCCCGCCCCCCGCCTACAGCGAGGTGAGCCCTGCCGCCATCGATGGTTTAGTCCGTCTCCTGTTCAGATCTCTGCACGTCCTCTTTTACCCCGCTGCTATAATCGACTCTTCCTGTCGTTGTGTTCAGGTCGATCAGGGCGCCGTCAACCCTCCTCAGGTTGTTCAGGTCTTCTGAGTACGACTTCTGCTCCAGCCACACGGCCGCCGGCATGACGGGGCCGACCGCCTGAGCTCGCCCGCCCGCCGGTGACACTCAGGACAGCGGCCGAGCCCCAGGACCGCCACGACTCGCCGTCTCCCGGCTTTGGCACTTTGTTTTGTTGTGAAAAGTTTTTTCTACGACAGTTTCAGGAAGTTCCAGCTGTAAATATGATGTAAATAAATGCAGATGTTTATTTTTTTACTAATAAATCAGTTCATGACTTTAAATCTGCGTCCGTGTTTCTCTGAGGACAAACCGTCGCTTTCCACAGAGGCCGGCCCGGCGTGAAACCGGTGAAGTGCGACGCCGTGAGACAGAACGCCACTGTCACGTTGTTGTTTTTATTTAACCGTGTTTGTTGAGATTTTGTTCATCTAAAATAAAATAAAAGCATAAAACACGGTATCATTAATACAACAGGAAATAATCAACCTTCCAAAGTGCCTCCATGAACCCAGTCGGCCACGTTTCACCTCAGAAACGTCTCAATGATTATAAAGATTCAGCAGAAGGAAAAGTACTTTTACTCAGGTACTGCACTTCAGTTTCAAAGTACTTACATGTATTATTACACGTGTCGCACGCCTCAGGAGCAGCGAGGGGTTAAGGACACACGGGTGGAACTGAACTCGGGTCTCTCTCACCAAAGGTATGTGTCTTATCCACTGCGCCATCAGCGCCACGTAGTAGATGAATACTTTTACACCGCGGTGTCTGCCGTCAGGGTCTGAATACTTCAGTTAACGACGACGTCTCGTCACCGAGGTGTTTTTATAAAACCTGAACCCTGTCGGTCTGAGACCTCTGACCCACTTCAGCTCGCTGCACACTGCAGACGTGTGATTCACGATGTTTAAAGGGCTGTTTGAGGGTCAAGACTTGGTTTTAGGGTTCAGGTTAGGGAATGCATTCTGTGTCAGAGGTGTGTGTGCGTGTAACCACGTCCCGCACGTTGACACTCATCGTGTTACAGCTGGCCTCCAGACCCCCCCCCCCACTTCTCCTCCGTCTGCATGGCCGGCAGCCTCTCTGCTCTGATTGGTTGGCAGTTGATCCCAGACCGCGTGTGATTGGTCGAGGCCCCGGGGTCACTCGCTCAGAGCGTGATCGGGTGTCTGAGTCGGCGCCAGCGCTCCTCTTTCTGTTTCCACATTTGGAATGAGTGAGCTAATGCTAACGTTAGCTCTGAGTCAAAAGGAGGTCAGAGGTCACGACTGAGGACAACGTGCTGCTGCAGCTCAGCGTTCACTTCAACCAGCGACAGCGAACACACCACCAGCCAATCACAGCCGAGACGGTTATTAACGCGTTATCAATCAACTTAGTCTGGGGGGGGGTTCACCCGCTGTCAGTGGGACAATCTGAACCAGGAGCGTAAACCAGGTCATAGATCTGATCCACATCGTTACAGGACAGTTTCCAGCTTCTCCTCATGGAGCACAGGATCCTGTCCCCCTTTTTAAAAACGGAACCACCACCCTGGTCTGGTTCAGTTACCACTTGACACCCTGGCATCCCAGTACCTGCTGCTCCAGGAGACCCCTGGACCGACCAAGTCTGAGAGTCCTCCTTCTTAGTCCGCCACCACGACAGGAACCCAAGACCTCCTGACCTGAACTCCCAGCAGGGAACACATCGATTATTGATCCTAACTGCAGTCCTGAGCCGGTCTGCAGGCTCTTTATGGAGCTTTGTCGGTACTACCTGCCGGGACTAATTATCTGTACTTAAGTATACTTTTGTGGTACTTGTACTTTCCTTGAATATTTCCACTGTACTTTTCTCTCCTCTACTCTCACTGGATCACTTCACTTCGGGTACTTTAATCTGCAGCAATGCTTCATGGTCTATAACAGGATGTTATTGTAGACAGAATGTGTATTTATTGAGATATCGAGCCTAAAATATCCAGATATTATTTATGAGCTCAGATTTAATCCAGTAATAATATTACTATTCTGAAATGGGCCGGTCTGCGTAATGAGTACTTTGAGTGTATTTTGATGCCAATACTTGCTGGTAACAGAGTATTTCTGCAGTATTAGTACTGTCAATGACGCATTCTTCAGTGTGTGTATTTTGTGTTTTACACACAGATTAGTAGTTAAACTGAAGTAAATGATCGAGTTTTTCTTCCACCTGATTAAAGGCGACGTTCTGATGTCAGGATGAAGTTTTGCAGTAAAAACTTTTAGGAAACAACATGATGCTAAAATACTTTTCCTCACATCAACATTTCCTTTCTGTTTTACTGACTGACTGTGAATCAAGTGTTTGGTTGTATTGATCAGCCTCTGAGAGCTAAATATTCCCACCACGCCCTGAACGCCTCGTGTAGCCGTTTATTACCCAACAGCCACAACAAACACACAGAATTCACTTTTCTGATAAAAACATAAAACACAGATACAAAAGTTAAAAAACGTTGGAACGACATGAACGCAGAGGGCTCCTGGCGACGCCTTATTGGCTCCTGGCGGCTCCTCATGGCTCCTGGCGGCTCCTCATGGCTCCTGGCAGGCTCCCTCTGCTGACTCGTCCCTTTCAGAAACAGTAAAAAGTCAAACAGCTGCTGGACGGTTCGTCTCTGCGGAGACAGAAGCAGACGTGCTGGTGTTTCAGTAAATAGCCTCGTCCATGTTGTCGTCGCTGTCTCCACCAAACTCCTCCCCGTTATCGAAGTACGACATGACGTAGTCCGTCTCCTGCGGAGCAGAAGGTCAAAGGTCAGAGCTCAACATCAAACTGTCATGTTCTTACATTAAATGCTCTCAGCGGCGACGAGCGAGCTCCACTTCAGTGTTTAGTCACTACCTGAATCTGCTGCCTCTCTCCTCACCTTCCTCTTCCTGTACACACCTGCGGCCCCGCCCCTTCCTGCACACACCTGCGGCCCCGCCCCTTCCTGTACACACCTGCGGCCCCGCCCCTTCCTGTACACACCTGCGGCCCCGCCCCTTCCTGTACACACCTGCCGGCCCCGCCCCTTCCTGTACACACCTGCCGGCCCCGCCCCTTCCTGTACACACCTGCCGGCCCCGCCCCTTCCTGTACATCTCTGCTGTCTTTCTCCATCAGCAGCACGTTTTATAAAGTCACCTGCAACGGTGCGTTCACTGTCGCTCCATTCTTGTACAATGTCCACTGTGTCTGCGTCCTCTAACTTCCCGTCACTGCATTTAAGGTCAGCTGGACGTCCAATCGTATCAATATTACACCGTAAAACTGATGTATCGTCTTCCAGCTGCGTGCGTCACATGGAGAAACCCTCTGTGTGTTTCAGACAGCGTGCTGCATCAGGTTCATCAGGAACCGCATCACTATCATTAAACTGATGTTTGTGTCTTTACTGAACAGCTGGAGGGTTTCACGCTGACGTCTGAGGATGTGAAGGAGCAGCTGATTCCGTCTCTGCAGGCTTCAGGCTGATGAATCAATCAACAGTCCTGACTGACTGCAGATCCCGGAGCTGAGCGGCTTCCTGTCCTCAGACCTCATGAAAACAGCTCGGACACACAGTGACATCATTTCCTGAATGATTTACATTTTGCTGAACTGAACGCCACCCCCCCCCCCCCCCAGTGCTGCCGCTAAACAAACCAAAGTTCATTCATAAAAACCTTGTTTTAATAAAAACCTCTCACCTCCTCAAACTCTTCCTCGTCGTACTCCTCCTCTCCCTCGGCCTCCTCTTCCTCTGGTTTCTTCTTCTTCTTCTCCCCTCCCTCCTCCTCCTCCTCCTCCTCCTCTCCCGAGCTCCCCCGCTCCTCCTTCTTTTCCAGACTCTGATACACATTAAGGTGGAAAGGTGTTTAGTTTGGACTGAGGATCTGGAGATAGTGCAGCTACTTCCTGTCCCCGGAGTCTCACCTCCAGTTTGAGCAGCACTTCCTCTTTCTCTTTCACTCGTTTCTTCTTCTGAGCAGGCTGAAGTCTGTCAGAGTGACCGCCTGCGGCCGAAACACCTGAGAGACACAGAACAGGGCGTTACACGCCCAACGGTCACTCATCCACCCAGAAATCACCAACACATCCAGCGGCTGAAGCAGAGCAGGCTCAGCGCGTCCTTCTGTCCGTCTTAATAAAGTTTGTTCAAACATCAGGAACACTGACAGAACGGAGCCCGTTTCAGCTCACGTACTGCTACTACATAGTCTGTACTGCATGTACTGCATGTACTGCATGTACTGCATGTACTGCATGTACTGCATGTACTGTGTACTCACCATCTCTGGCAGGTTTCTTCACGTGGACTCTGAGCTCTTTAGGGAATCTCTTCCAGTCTGAGTCAAAAACAACAACAAGTCATCAATAATAATAATTAATACGGACGATGATGATGGTGACGATGATGATGGTGACGATGATGATGGTGGCGTCTCACCTGGAGTCCAGTCTGTCGTTCCGTCTGTCGGCTCACTGCTGTGATATTTATCAGAGTATCTCTCCACATCTGGAAACACAGTCAGCTGATAGTTACTGTTACAGAGTGTGTGTGTGCGTTACAGTGTGTGTTTGCGTTACAGTGTGTGTGTGTGCGTTACAGTGTGTGTTTGTGTTACAGTGTGTGTGTGTGCGTTACAGTGTGTGTGTGTGCGTTACAGTGTGTGTGTGTGCGTTACAGTGTGTGTGTGTGTTACAGTGTGTGTGTGTTACAGTGTGTGTGTGTGTTACAGTGTGTGTGTGTGCGTTACAGTGTGTGTGCGTTACAGTGTGTGTTTGTGTTACAGTGTGTTTGTGTTACAGTGTGTTTGTGTTACAGTGTGTGTGTTTGTGTTACAGTGTGTGTGTTTGTGTTACAGTGTGTGTGTGTGCGTTACAGTGTGTGTTTGTGTTACAGTGTGTGTGTGTTACAGTGTGTGTGTGTTACAGTGTGTGTGTTTGTGTTACAGTGTGTGTGTTTGTGTTACAGTGTGTGTGTTTGTGTTACAGTGTGTGTGTGTTACAGTGTGTGTGTTTGTGTTACAGTGTGTGTGTGTTACAGTGTGTGTGTTTGTGTTACAGTGTGTGTGTTTGTGTTACAGTGTGTGTGTGTTACAGTGTGTGTGTTTGTGTTACAGTGTGTGTGTTTGTGTTACAGTGTGTGTGCGTTACAGTGTGTGTGTGTGCGTGTTACAGTGTGTGTGTGTGCGTGTTACAGTGTGTGTGTTTGTGTTACAGTGTGTGTGTGCGTTACAGTGTGTGTTTGTGTTACAGTGTGTGTGCGTTACAGTGTGTGTGTGTGTTA